GCTGGCCCCGCCCATCTGCTCTCATGCCCCGCCCACTGCCACCGCCCCCTCTGCAGGCCCTGCTGGCTCCGCCCCCTCCTGCTCCCAGGCCCCGCCCACCGGAGCAGGGAGGGGTGTGGCTCCCCCCAGGTCATGGGGACCTGACCCTGAGGGCCACCTCTTTCCTGCCGCCCCCAGGCACCATGGAGTGCTACACCGAGGAGAAGGCCAACAAGATCAAGGCGGACTACGAGAAGAGGCTGCGGGAGATGCACCGGGACCTGCAGAAGCTGCAGGCCGCCCAGAAGGAGCATGCACGGCTGCTCAAGAACCAGTCTCGCTACGAGAGGGAGCTGAAGAAGCTGCAGGCCGAGGTGGCCGAGATGAAGAAGGCCAAGGTAGGCGTCCCGGGGCACCGGGCGCGGGAGGTCGCCCAGGGACCCGCTCCCCGCATTGGGCAGTCATTACTGTCCATTTGGACCAGCTGGCCCGGTTCTCCCTGGCCTGGCCCTGGGTGCTCGTCCCTAACCCTAACCCTAACCCTACCGCAGTAGAGCTGAGGGTCTCCAGGGGGGCCCCGCTCGACACTGTCCCCTGTGGGACGCTCCATCACCACTGTCTCTGCACCAAGGACAGTAAGGACCGTTGGCCCTGAACAACAATGGTTTGAACCACGCCTTCCACTTATACGCAGATTTTTTTTCAATATGGTAATAAGTAGAGTAATAACATTTTACTCATTCTATTTACTTGGTTGTGTGACTTGAAGTCACTTTTCTCTCTCTGGGCTCGCTTCCTTGTTTATAAGATGGGAGTGATAACGCCTGTCTTGCATGGTTGTCTCGAGCCATAGGCACCGTTAGCGCAGCTGTCGGGAGAAAGTGCTCCGTCTGTATCGGCTCACTCGCCTCCAGCAGCCTGGGCTGGTCCTGGTTGTGTGTGGGCACCGGCTTAGTCCTGTCCTGCCGCCCCCTCTGCCCGTCTCAGGTGGCCCTGATGAAGCAGATGCGTGAGGAGCAGCAGCGGCGGCGGCTGGTGGAGACCAAGAGGAACCGGGAGATCGCACAGCTAAAGAAGGAGCAGCGGAGACAGGAGGTGAGGGCGGCCCCGGTGGACCCCGGGCCCTGCAGGCTCCTGTGTGTTCAGAGGAACGAGCCCCAGTGAGGGGCAGGAACTTGCCTGAGGTCACCAGCAAGTGGGGCCAGAACCTCGGGCTTGCAGCCCAGGACTCCTGGCCCATGATGGGGACTAGAGGCCAGGGAACTGCCCTTGTGGAGGGGAGGCCCAGGCTTTCCCCTACAAGTCAGCCAGGCCCCTGCCACCCAGCCCTGAATGTGGACCCTTTTCTCCAACCCGCAGTTTCAGATCCGAGCTCTGGAGTCCCAGAAGCGACAGCAGGAACTGGTTCTGAGGAGAAAGACCCAGGAGGTGAGTGAGGTGTCTCCCCAAGCAGCCCTTTTTGGATTCTGCCAAGCTGGGAACCAGCGAGCGAGCAGCCTGGGGCCCTGGCTCTCTCCCATCCAGCGGATGCAAGGCATGGCCTGGGCTGAGGCCGGAGGGCAGGCTACAGGCTCTGGTCCCACCTTTAAAAAAAAAAAAAAGTTCTCTCTTTTGTGTTCATTTCACAGTTTCACAACAAACAGAGCCCCCTTTTTCAGTCCCAAGCCCAGGCCTGGATGGAAGCGCCCTTATATTCTTCCTCCCTGGCCCCTCCCCCAATCTGGGCATTTTCTGGACTCTGGGTACCCTGCTCACTGGGTCCTCTCTCCATGGCCCCCAGGTTTCTGCACTGAGGCGCCTGGCCAAGCCCATGTCTGAGCGGGTGGCGGGGCGTGTGGTACCAAAGCCACCCATGCTGGACTCGGGGGCTGAAGTGTCAGCCAGCACCACCTCATCGGAGGCTGAATCAGGGGCCCGCTCTGTCTCCACCATTGTGCGCCAGTGGAACCGAAAGATCAACCACTTCCTGGGGGACCACCCCGCATCCACAGTCCACGGCACCCGCCCCACCAGGTGAGGTGGACCAGGAGGGGTGAGCCTGGGCGTGGCCCAGTGGCGGCCCGTGGCTGTCAGCTCCTCCAGGTGGGGGCCCCACCCAACCCCGTTTGCCTCTGTCTCCAGAAAGAAGTTCCAGAAGAAAGGGGCCAGCCAGAGCTTCAGCAAGGCTGCGCGGCTCAAGTGGCAGTCCCTGGAGCGGAGGATCATTGACATTGTCATGCAGAGGATGACCATCGTCAACCTGGAGGCAGACATGGAGCGGCTCATCAAGGTGGGCCTGTCCCCCCGCCCCCCCAGTCTCTTCCAACTTCTCCTGGTCCCCTGTCCCCTGCTCTTCATGGCGGCTCTGGAATCCGGAGTTGCTGGGGGTCCCCAAGAGGTTAGGCTGGGGGGCAGCTGTGGGCAGGGCTGGACAGCACCCTGAGGCTTTCTCCGCCCCCCAGAAAAGGGAGGAGCTGTTCCTCCTGCAGGAGACTCTGCGGAGAAAGCGTGAGCGGCTGCAGGCCGAGAGCCCGGAGGAGAAGGGGCTGCAGGAGCTGGCGGAAGAGATTGAGGCGCTGGCGGCCAACATTGACTACATCAATGACAGCATCTCCGACTGCCAGGCCACCATAGTGCAGCTGGAGGAGACCAAGGTGCTGCGGCGCCACCTGGTGGGCGGAAGCCAGATGGGTGCGGGGGTGGGGTGGGCAGCCCTGTGACCAGGGTTCTCTGCCTCCCGGTCCCAGGAGGAGCTGGACTCCACAGACACATCCGTGGTCATCAGCTCCTGCTCCCTAGCCGAAGCTCGCCTCCTGCTGGACAACTTCCTCAAGGCATCCATCGACAAGGTGTGCCCTAGCTCGCCTCCTGGACGCGGACCCCCGCAGCCTGGCTCCTCCGATCCACGTCACACAGGCTTGGGCAAGCCGCCTCACCTCCAGCCCCTTGTTTCAGGCTAGAAAATGGGGCTGATGACAGACATACCAAGCCTGTGGCTTGTTTTGTGGCTTTAACGAGATGACACATGCGAGGGGCTTGGCCTGGTGCCTGGCTAGTAGGTACTGGCCCAGGCCCATCCAGAGCAGGGCTGGGCTTGAGTCTGCTGGAGGTGGAGGGCAAGTGTGAGTGTGTGGGGCAGCCGAGACAGACAGATGGACAGACCACATTCCACCCAGGAGGGTTCATGCTGGGACATCAGGTGTCCCTGGGCATCTTGTGCTGGACAGAGATGGCCAGAGGGTGTGCTTCCTTGCCCTGGGACCGGGATCACCTGGCGTGTATGCAGTGCAGCTCTGGATGGGGTGAAAGCCTCTCCCCCCAATTCCTCACCCGTCCACAGTGGGCTCTCAGATCCACTTTGTATCTTCAGGGACTGTGCGAGTCAGCTCTGGCTGCTGTGACCAAGTGTCACCGGCTGGGTGACCTGAACCACAGAGATTTATATCCTCATAGTCCTGGAGGCTGGATGTGAGAGCAGACCTCTCCTCTCCCTTCCCTGGTTGCCCCCTCCACATATTTCTAGTCTCTTCTTATAAGGACACCGGTCATATGGATTAGGGCCCACCCTAAAGACCCCAGTTAACTTAATGATCTCTTTATAGACAGTCACATTCTGAAGTCCTGGGGGGCACAGCATCAGCATATAAATTTTGGGGTTACATTTCAGCCAAAACAGAAGTGTGTCTCAGGTGACTTCCATGAGCATGCATGTGGGGAAAGTTAGGGGTGCCTGTGACATCTCAGGTCTGTGACAGACACAGGGTGATGTCTGGGAGTTATGGGGGCCCTCCAGGGCATCTCACTGGGAGCAGGTGGTGTGAGGGCCCTTGACGGGGGTGCCCATGGCCCCAGGCTGGAAAGGATCACCCAGGCCTGCTCTCTGCCCCCAGGGGCTGCAGGTGGCCCAGAAGGAGGCCCAGATCCGGCTGCTGGAGGGACGACTGAGGCAGACAGACATTGGGGGCTCCTCCCAGAACCACCTGCTCCTGGATGCCCTGCGTGAGAAGGCGGAGGCACACCCCGAACTGCAGGCCCTCATCTACAACGTGCAGCAGGGTAAGTGGGGTAGGGGGTGGCATGGGCCTCACAGCTCCTGGGGTGCTCCTGGCTCCAACCCTGGGACCCTTGATTCCCCAGAACTCCACCAAAACCCGTCTGATCCCAGTGGGCGAGATGCGGGAAAGAGGCCTCACTCCTGGGACCTTTCACATCCTGATCCCCCTCTCCGTCCCCCAGAGAATGGCTATGCCAGCACCGATGAGGAGGTCTCAGAGTTCTCCGAAGGGAGGTGAGTCCCCACAAGGGAGTGAGAGGCAGCTCAGTGTGCACCTGGGGATGGGGGGAGCCCCAGGGTCCAGGGCCAAGTCTGGATTAGGGGTTCTCTGGGCCCCACGAGTCTGGGTCCCAAAGCACTGGGGCGCAAGCTCTCGGGGTCCTGAACTCCCTCTGCTCCTTCCTTAGCTTCTCCCAGTCGTTCACCATGAAAGGTTCCACCAGCCACGATGATTTCAAGTTCAAGGTGAGCCCCATTGGAAGACAGATGAGGCTACGGAGGGGCCAGCCTCCCCAAGCCTGGTCCCCGCCTCCCGTGGCTCTGCTCTCACCCCTAAGCCCGACCCGGTGTTGCCTCCGGCTGGGATGGAGGTCCAAGAAGGATCTAGCCTAGAACTGGAGGGGGTGTAACCTGGTGCAACCCATTATTTTTGAAGTGGGTAGAAAACGGGAGAAGTAGCTGGAGCCACTTGTTTGATGACATCACCATAGCCAACGACCCCACTTTCAAAATCTCCCTCTCCCCCACCCCAGACCTGAGTCAGGCTGACCAGATCGCTGGTTATGATACACACAGCTTGTTGATCACCAGCAGCGGTCCGTAGTGAGGGGCTTTGCGGATCAGCGAGGGCGCAGTTAGTCAGCTTGAACCAAGAAACTGGCTTTATGTAGAGAGAATTGTGCAGGGTTTGAGGCACACTGATTGGGCCGGTGAGCAGCACAGAGGCTCACCGGGGTGTGCTCTGCTCACAGTCCAAGTAAGGGCAGAAAATCCATGTCTGCTGCTTTGAATTTTCCAGCAGCCTTGAGATTGGGTTCTGGGTAGTGTCTGGTGGGTCCTTTCCCGGGATCCTCTGCCTCAGGCCCAGGCCGCACCCCCCCCATGACACCCTGGTCACGTGTCACCCGTGTGGGGAGTTGGTCCACCCCGGTGCTTCCTTTGCAGGGCGAGCCCAAACTGTCTGCCCAGATAAAGGCCGTGTCCGCCGAGTGTCTGGGGCCCCCACTGGACAGCTCCACCAAGAACATCACCAAGTCCCTGGCCTCGCTGGTGGAGATCACAGAGGACGGGGTGGGCCTCTCCATCCGAGACCCCTACTACCGGGACAAGGTCTCACGCACCGTCAGCCTGCCCACCAGAGGGAGCACCTTGTAAGGAGGGCAGCCAGCCGGGCGGCCGGCCAGGGTGGGCAGGGAGCTGGCCCAAGCCTCACTGGACCTTTCTGTTCCAGCCCCCGGCCATCCCGAGGCACCGACACATCCCCTCTGACCCGAAGGAAGTCATACGACCGAGGGCAGCCCGTCAGGTGAGAGCGCGATCCCGTCCAGGCCGTGGCAGTGTGAGTGGCCGTGCTGTGGTCACTAACAGATGCCGCTCTCGGTCCCCACTCGCCAGGTCCACAGATGTGGGATTCACCCCCCCCTCATCCCCTCCCACTCGGCCACGCAACGATCGCAACGTCTTCTCCCGTCTGACCAGCAATCAGAGCCAAGGGTCGGCGCTGGACAAGTAAGAGCCAGGCGGCCGGGGAGGCTCTTCGAGGGGAAGGGAGCCTGTGTGCTAGTTGCGGCTGTGGGCAGGGCTAGGGCAGCCGGACAGCCGCTGGCCATTCCCCTTTCTGACTATGGACCTTTCTGTTCCCTGATGAAGCTGGGACCTCGGAGAGGGCAAGCAGAAAGCCACAGGGTCGGGACAGGGGAACTCAGGCCCCCCAAGGCCTCCCCAGAGCTGCCCTTGACTCCTTGGCTGACTCCTTGGTTCTCTGGAGCCCCTTCCTCCAGCTTCAGCCAGCCCCCCCCGCACCGCAAATGCTCAGACAGGCCCCGCGCACTGTACCGGCAGAAAGAGACCCGATTAGCTTCATGCGGTCCGCTCAGCTCACCCCACAGGTGCAGCCCTGCGGGCGGGATGGGCATTGACAGTCCCACGTGGCACCCGCCCTCACACACGAGATTTCCTCTGAGCCATAAGTCAGCCGGGAGGATTGTCTGCCCCACTTTACAGAAGAGGAAATGGGGCTCGAGAGGCCTGAGGGCCTTCACCTAGGAAGGGCCAGAGCTGGCCAAGGACCTGGGGTGTGACCGTGCCGACGTGTGTCCGAAACAGGGGGACTCTGCCTGGGGAAAGGGGACCTGTCCTCCACGAGTTCCCCTTCACACTCCCTGTTGACCCCGTCCTGGCATCTCCAACTCACTCAGCCCCTAGAAGTCTCTCTCCTGGGGGTGATGAGGACAGTGCTGTCCTCCAGGCCAGAAGGTGTCCTCTCCACGGAAATACCCCTTTCTGGGTCAACTTATGCTCCTTCCCTGGCTCAGGCTCCCATTCTGCAGGGAACACACTGAACCTGGCCTATGCCAACCAGGGTGCCCGCCCTGCG